ATTCTCAGACATATGTAGTATTATCCTTATCACGTTCAGATACAGTTCTGTAAAATTAACTTTATCAAAACACACACTTTCTTCCTTTCTTCCCTGTGAAAGGCGATAACGTTACACGTACTTAGGGAAATTATTTTCTCATTTGTGTATCAGAATATAACATTCGTACGTCATTTTGTTAAAAACCTTTATCATATGTAACTTCATGAAGTATCTTTCAAGGAGTTATTCTCAGACCACACTTAGCAGCAGTTAAATGTAGAACAAAAAACATTCATCATAGATTTCAACCAACGTGACAGAAATAGTCTACAAATGACTTTCGTGTTCACCTCTCTCGTAAGAGGTGTAGTAGTTTCACCACTACTATAACAGTTGACGATTTGTCACTATCAATTCTGCAGTGGCTGACACCCTTCATGTGGGTGTACGCGGAGCGCAACCAGACGACCTACAAGATGACAGCGGAAGGCAGATTCTTGCTTCAAAAAGAACAAAATTGCTTTATTGCACATATAAGCACCCAAAATAGACCGGTGAAATAATATTTATATTTTGGATTGAGACAGAAGATAAATAATTTTGGAAATCTTGGAAGTACATAGCAATATTATTACAAATACGAGTAGTGCGTCCAATACGAAATTCGATTTTTGATGTTACGCAAACTTCTTAAACTCATTTAGAAAAATTGCCGTGTTTTGAATTCGTCACGAATTGCTGTATTTCACGTTTAAGCAAAAGGCAAAAGTTTATGTCATTAACTAACTATATTGTACTTTCACTTCGCAAACAACCCTTGATGTTATTAATAAACGGGTGAATGATCTTCGATAGATATCTACTGAAATCAGAAAAATTAATAGTACATATTCCGAAAAGTATTTGAAAATGTACGTCAGCATCCCTCAATTTCCCGATTAATATTTCGACAAATTTCTTCACAAATAAGTAAAATTGTAAGATCGGACTTTGTGTCGAAACTTTCATATCGCAATGAATTCTTCCACATTTCACCAGCTGGAGCGCGCTGTATATCCAAGTATTTGTGCATTGGCAGCGTGGCTCGGGTGGAATTTTCGACACCAGCTAGAATACTACGAGTAAGTCGAACACAGCCGCTGTCTGGACAACAATTCTAGCGGCCGGCTGCTCTAATCGATAATTTTCCGTTGTTTCTCCGATTAATACCAGGCGAACGCCCCTACAGTACCCTAAAATACGGACTACTGATCGCGCGCGATCTTTTCTTCCTCTTTCTTGTCCTAACCTCACCCCTTACTTACACTCACATTCACTACACTACCACACATGTCAGGAGATGAGTGGGGAACTTAAAGCTTGTCCCGATTGAGACTGTGGGAGATACTTCGTTGGAAAAACAGCAGGACAACTTATAGGTCGGCCCCGAATCTCGCCAGCTAGTAGGAGAATATCACCTTCACATCCCGCAGTAAAACATGTACTACGTTTACGGGACTCACGACATACGCAGTTCACGATCCCGGAATCACTAATCAATCCAAGCAGTTGTGCGTGGGCCAGCGTGGCTGCTATCGGGCGATGCGACGCGCGTCGACAGTCACTTCATCAGTGCTTGTTCGCGTGGCCGCGCGGAGCGCAGTCGTCGACGACCACCTACGGACAGCGGGATAAGCATCGCGAGCGGACGTCCGCCCCGCAATTAACGCGTGAGCAAGACGCTGATTGATCTGTCAATTAGCGACGGGGAAGAGCGTCTGAATCCTGAGCGTTGCGAATCGATACGGGTGGGTATGTAGGAGCTTGATAATAAGGACTGCCTAGAAAAAAAAAATACTGGAAATAAGAGAGAGTGAGATTTAAATACAAAATTGTCAGAGATTAGGAATGGACGTTGCAGTGATGATAGATGAAAGGATTATAATTCTGAGGGTAAAATGTCAGGAAACTTATTCGGTGTTGAAAAGAGTTGGGAAGGAGTGGTAGATATTACAGAAACAGTGTTCAAGCGTCGTCATCAAAGTGTGAAGAAAACAGAGGCCACGAGTGAGGAGGGAAATCAAAATAAA